GAGGGTTCAATCATGAATTATTATTGGCCAGATTTAATTGCAAACGACTTCACACAAGAAGGATAATTACTGTTGTTAAATTTTCATACAATTTGCTAAATAATAGAATAGATTGTCCATACCTCCTTGATAAGTTTTTCTTTGTTGTCCCTAGATTAAACTCTAGACAAAATCCTTTATTTTATGCACCTCGCTGTAAAACTAATGCTCTAAGTAGATCGCCCGTTGCGCTCATGTGTAACTATTGCAACTTAATTAGCAGTGACTGTGATTTCAATTTCGATTCAGCTCAACATATATGTAAATCTCTTCTAAAGTTGTTAGTGTTGTAATTGTATTAATATTATCCCCATTTTTGTTATTAATATGTTTAGTTTGAGGTTACTTCTACAAACATTTAAGTTTAAGTTTCTGGTATTAACAGTTTACCATGTTATCTTCATTAATTTATAATTATCTTAATTTGCATCCTTATTTTTTATTAATATCTTTAATAGGAATATGTGCTTACTCATACATTCATTACATTTTAGACTCTAATCTGAACGATTTAAATATTATATTGCTTTCTTTAATTTGTAATTATATTAATTTTCGTATTTATTTATTATTAATATGTTTAATTATTATCATTTATTTGCTTCATTCTTTTCTAATTATTTCCTGTAATTGGGTGTTTTTTTCCCCGTTGGAAATAAAGATTATTATTATTATTATTATTATTATTATTAAATATACATGGTATTCTTTGAAGGACAGGATACTAAAAAACATGTTTTTAATTTCTTGTAAAGAAATAAGTATTTTGCAGTTAAGCTCCGCCTCCTTGGCTCATGACGAATAAAAAAAAATCAACACAATTGGATAGGGCGGGTGGGCGGGGGTACATTTTGCCTTTTTTTCTTAATATGGGTAGATTTATTTGAACAACAAATTTTCACCCTTTTTTATAATTTTTCGAAGAATCTGCATTTGTTCGCCTGCACTTCAGGGCAGAGGAAATTTCTGTCTAAATGGGTTTTTTGTATAAAATTATGTTCTTGCATAACGCTTTTGGTCAATGGGTTACCTAAACTCTGTCCGAATTTGGTTCCAAGGAACCGATGAAAAGCAACAACTAATAATTAAAACAAATGAAACTACACCAACTTATTTTGATTTTTTCAGCATGATTTACCTTCATAGGAATGCCCAAAAAATTTTTTATAAATTATAATAAAACAAACCTAAATGCTATATTGTATTCTCAGGATGTGTTTTCTCTTAAGTCTACAGGTTTATTCTTACAATAGAACCCTAACAGCTTCGCTGAGACTCTTTATTGCACACTTCTGTGAGAATAAAGCAAAAAAAAAATAATAATAATGCGAGCGCAGCGAGCACGTTCAGGTGGAATTTAAAAAAATATTTATTGGTGTTCTTGAGAAGCTAAATCATTAAGGACAATTTTGTTATTTAAAAATGTGAGCTTAATCATTGTTTGTAATCTAATCAGCTACTGAAACATCCTGAAAGTGCTCGCTGCGCTCGCCTTTTAGAAGCTTTTTTTTTTTAAGTAATTTACAAAGGTAGATCTCGGGAATTATTATAATAAAATCTAAGAAGCTTCAGAATGCAAGTACAGCGAGCATATTTAGTTGCCACTAAAAATTATTCGTCGGTCTCACTGGGAAGCTAAATCATTATTTAAACTAAAGTCAGAGATGCCAGCACCCTGAATCTGCTCGCTGCGCTCCCATTCTAAACTCGGATTTATTAACTTGTTGTTGACGTTGCTGTTACCGCTGACGTTGCTTTTAGAACTGAAAATTGTCATTTATTAACTCCGTTGCCAAGTTGCCGTTGATAGTAACTTCGATGTTAAACTTATGCCGTATTTAAAGGGGTTGTAAAAGAAAAATCGAGGATTTTAAGTTATATACCACAAAAATGTAAGCCCCGCCCACCCACCCCATCTCAATTGTGAAGATTTTATTTTTCGTCGTTTTTTATATTTTGCCTTTTTTTCTTAATATACCTAGTATTCTTTGAAGAACAGGATACTCCAAACATGTTTTTAATTTCTTGTAAAGAAAAAAGTATTTTGTAGTTAAGCTCCGCCGTCTCGGTTCACGTCGAATAAAAAAAATCATCACAATTGAGATAGGGTGGGTGGGCGGGGTTTATATTTTACCTTTTTTTCTAAATATCCATAGTATTCTTTGAATAACAGGATACTCAAAAACATGTTTTTAATTTCTTATAAAGAAATGAGTATTTTGCAGTTAAGCTCCGCCTCCTTGGATCATGACGAATAAAAAAAATCAACACAATTGAGACAGTGCGGGTGGGCGGGGGTACATTTTGCCTTTTTTTCCTACTGTGTAGATTTATTTCAACAACAAGTTTTCACCCTATTAATTTTTATAATTTTTGGTCAATAGATAGCCTAAACTGTGTCCGAATACTTTCGTCAAATTTGATTCCAATGAACCGATGAAAAGCAAAAACTAATAATTAAAACAGACGAAACTACACCAACTTATTTTGATTTTTTCAGCATGATTTAGTTTCATAGGGACGCCTACAGGATTTTTATAATAAAACAAACCTAAATTTTATATTGTATTCTCAGGATGTGTTTTGTCTTTAAGTCTAGAGGTTTATTCTTGCGATAGAACCTACACAGCTTTGATTCTTTACTACACACTTCTGTGAGAATAAAGCAAAAAAAAATTAATGCGAGCGCAGCGAGCACGTTCAGGTGGAATTTAAAAAAATATTTAATGGTGTTCCTGAGAAGCTAAATCATTAAGAACAATTTTGTTATTTAAAAATGAGTGAGTTTAAACATTATTTGTAATCAGGTACTGAAATATCCTTAACGTGCTCGCTACGCTCCCCTTTTAGAAGCTGTTTTTTTTAGAGTAATTTACAAAGGTAGATCTTGGGAATTATTATAATACTCCAGTTGCCGTTGATGGTAACTTTGATGTTCAGCTTTTGCCGTATTTAAAGGGGTTGTAGAAGAAAAGTGGAGGATTTAAGTTAATTACGACAAAAGTGTAAGCCCCGCCCACCAGCGCCATCTCAATTGTGATGATTTTTTTTATTCGTCGTGAGCCAAGAAGGCAGAGCTTAACTGCAAAATCCTTATTTCTCTACGAGAAATTAAAAGCATGTTTTTGGGTATCGTGCGGTTCAAAGAATAATATGTATATTAAAAAAATAAGGCAAAATATAAACCCCGCCCACCCACCCGATCTCAATTGTTACTTTTTTTATTTAGAAACTTTAAATCCGTTTAAAATGGTAATTTTTTTTAAGGAAATATGGATTTTGCAATTAGGCTAGGTCTGTCAACGAATGAAAACTTCATGACTATTTAGATCGAAGCAAGTATAGGTGGGGCTTCATCTTTGGCTTTATTTTTTTCTTAATATACATAGTATTATTTGAACAACACGATACTCAAAAGCATATTTTTAATTTCTCGTGGAGAAATAAGGATTTTGTAGTTAAACTCCGCCTTCTTGACTCACGACGAATAACAAAACAATCATCAGAAATGAGATGGGGCGGGTGGGCGGGGCAACATTTTGCCTTTTTTCCTTAGTATGTTTAGACTTATTTCGATAACAAGTTCTTACCCTATTAATTTTTATAGTTTTTCGAAGAATCTGCATTTGTTCGCCTGTACTTCAGGGCAAAGTTCTGTCTAATTGGGTTTTTTTAGATAAAATTATGTTTTCGCTTAACGCAACATCAATGGGTTGGCTAAACTGGGTCCGAATACTTTCTAAAGTATTTTAGGAAATATTAAAAGTTTCGTCAAATTTGGTTCCAACGAACCGATGAAAAGCAACAACTAGTAATGAAAAACAGATGAAACTACACCAACTTATTTTGATTTTTTGAGATTAATAATTTTTCAGAATTTTTTTAGGCTTCATAGGGACGCCTGCAGGATTTTTAATAATAAAACAAACCTAAATATTATAGTGCATTCTCAGGATGTGTTTTGTCTTTAAATCTAGAGGTTTATTCTTACAATAGAATGAAAACAGCTTCGCTGAGACTCTTTACTGCACACTTCCGTGAGAATAAAGAAAAAAAAAAATAATGCGAGCGCAGCCAGCACGTTCAGGTGGAATTTAAAAAATTATTTGTTCCTGAGAAGCTAAATCATTAAGGACAATTTTGTTATTTAAAAATGTAAGCCCCACCCACCCACCCCGTCTCAATTGTGATGATTTTTTTTATTCGTTGTGAGCCAAGAAGGCGGAACTTAACTGCAAAAACATTATTTCTTTACGAGAAATTAAAAGCATGTTTTTGGGTATCGGGTTGTCCAAAGAATAATATGTATATTGAGGCAAAATATAAACCCCGACCACCCACCCACCCGATCTCAACTATCAACGGCAACTTGGCAAGAGTTTCGGTATAACATTTAACTGAAGTTGTTTTTCTGAGATGTTTTCGTCTGGAATCGTCCTTTTTGCAGTATTTTTCCAAAAATGAATTAAATGTAGGATTACTTAAGTTCAATTTATTCAAGGCAAGCATGGCCTGGCATAAATCGAACTTGAATGTTTCCTTTTCATTTTTGGCTGTATTATAGCAGATAAAGTTTCTCGTATTGATGTTTGAGTTATACTGGTTGAGTTTCTTTTTTTACAATTTCTTTTGTGAAGAGGCGTTCTACAGTGTTAGTCTATAAGATGTTTCTTTGTGCCCGAAATCTATAAAAAAAAATGAAAACAAATAAGTAGGAGATAGCTATTATATTTTAAAAACTTACTACTTTACTGCAAGGTTTGCAAAAATCATCATCTCCATTTAGAACCAACTCTGAGTAGGGTCGAATCCACGATGATAGTTTGGAAGACATTTTTTTAATTTTTCGTAATATCACTGCTCAAGTTCGTAGACGAATGACACCAATTACCATGAAAAACGGAGGAAAAATTTTAAAATATGGATTCCGGGTGGGATAAGGACCAAATAGAACGATGACATCAGTGTTTACATTATATGCTTTATTTAAGAGATATTACTCAACCCGGCATAAACACTTTTCAAAACACCAACAATAATCCCCCTGTAGCACACCTATGTCGATAATATCCAGATCGTTAACAGTCAAGTATACGATTTAAAAGGTACAAAATCTAACCCCTACTGGTCATGAAAATATTATAGGTCTCTCTTCTATACAAACTAGCTCATAACCTAATAAAAATAACTTTGGTTTCAAGGAATAATCGTTAAGAAAATAAGAAATAAAGTGACTTTCTCTTATAAAATACAGTCCCAATACACAATTACGTCAACTAAACTGTAACGAGAAGAGTTCTTTATAAATATGTTACAGGCACAACAATTTAAGTATATCCTAGTATTTTAAATATTCCATAAATAGTCTGAATAACAGTCACACATCAGCAGACAATTAGAATCAAAACACAGTAAAACATCTCGTTCTATTTTTAGATTAAAACACATATTAGATTGAAGACGTCGAAGAACCAACCCAGAATGAATACAAAACAGAAAATCGAAAGAGATCACATTCATATTTTAAACCTACGTAAAAAACCCAATAAAAATACTATCAATTACATGAGTATATTGGAGTTACAAGAAATGATTGGTGTAGGGCTTAATTAGTCATCAATGTCTTATGATTGTTTCAATTAGTCCATCCCTGTTTATTCCCCGTCCGAATCTCCACCCAAACAACCGACCTCCCATCACAAAAATACGTCGGTCGTTTCACCCTCTCAGTCAAATCTCTCCTTATCTATCATTTCTTTGTATTATCTTTTTGCGCATTCCGGCGAATGCACCAATAACAAATAACAACTCTATGCAGCGTAACTGCTATTTTACAATATATAAAAACGAAACGGGCTGTAAAAGTGTCTAAAAATTAAAAATATATAAAACATAATGTCTACAACGAACTTCTTTGGTAATGGATTTACAATGAGCATAACTTCGAAAACCTGACATATGAACATAGTAGCGGAGCCTCTGCTTTGTAACAATATAACAACGACGGCAGATGTCCTAGAACAATAAAAAGGAGACTCGAGTACGTCTCGAGTCTCCCTTATTGCGCCGGGACATCCCCATCTGTCATAAACTTTGGTCTTGGCCTGTAGCACCTCCACCCTTGTTGTCTCCGCCGGTTCCGCTGCCGCTGGAAGAACCGCCTTCTCCGCCTGCGCCTCGGCCGGCGCCGCTACCTGAACCCCTGAATTCCAGTTTGTACTAGAAAAAAATAAAAAAATTTATTCAAAAATTAGCAAATAATGAACATTTAACATCATCTACACCACTTTCACAAGCTGTTTAAGCTACCATAGTTGGGTTTGGAAATACTAGGTTAGGTTGAACATGGAATAGTCGCTCATTTTTGTAGCATTATAGCTTACAAACACCAAAGTTACACACATACACAAATAAGCACGAAATTGATTTGCTCAAATTTTGGCAATTTACACGGAATACATGTATGAAGCTAAACAGACAGTTTAATCAACAATGTAACTAGGGATTAGTATGAATGGGTTTCTGATTGCAAGTACTAACAAGGGCAGAATGATGATAGAGAATAACCCAATTAGGGGCTATGAATTTAAAATAATTACGAGAAGTTAATTAAGGGATAAAAATATCATATTTTTATGCACGTAGAGTCAATAAATGAGCTCTCTTCAGTACTTTACAACCCGTTAGGTTGCAAGACACAACTTTATATTTTTTTATGGAACATCCCGTTATATTTCTACATGTCTTAGTTGGCCTTTTTTTAGACTTTGCTGTCATATTTTAGTTCTGAGGTTCCGAATGTTTTATTATTGTTTTTTTTTTACAATATAAACGTCCACAAAAAATAGCAACAGGAACATTTTTAAAATTCCATATGATCGAAAATAATTCCATGGCTCACTAGGTGAGGTTTTTTCTTCGATTATATGGTATGTGTTATAACAACTATAATATCCAATAAAGGAAGAGAAATAAACAAAAATAATAAAGTAGAAACAAAAATTGTCTATAAAAACTACTTTCTTTTATTTTCAAAGTCGTATCTCACCATTTTCAAAAAGAACACCTGTTTTGTTACGATGTTTATTTGAAAAATTATGACTACTCGATGTTAATAATATTTCAGAATTTTTTTATAAGCACTCTGTATACTAAAATTATTTTTATTGAAATCGTAATAAAGGACATACTTTCCTTATATGGTCAATATGTTAAAAAATTTCAAGGAAAATGAAAAATTTTGTGAATCTATAGGGATTTCAAAAAAAGCTTGTAAAGCTTACGAAGAGATTAATTATTAGAATAAACATGTAAAAATATACAGGGTGTTCCACTCAAAAATAATTCAGAAAATGCCAAAAAGCACCCTTATTGACGCAGACTGTGTATTATTTAAAGATATCGCAGTTAAACTAAAGGCAGTGTCTCATAAAACTCAATTTTAAGGAACATCTAATATTAGTATAAAGCCTACAGTTAGATACCGTGGGTTTGAAAAAAAAGCCAAAGTCCGTACAAAAATAATGGCACGCATAATTTTTAGAAATTCTTGTACAGTTTTTTCTGCATTCCTTGATGTATGATGATGTCATATTTTGTTAAAAAGTTGTAGTAAAATTTAATTAACTTTTAAAAAATTGTTGAAAATTTTTAAACATATAATGGGGCGATTCTGGAAAAATTGTACGAATTTTTGGAAGAAATGAGGTCGAAATACACAAAAAAAAGAAAGCCAAACCAAATTTCTTTGGATATTTTTCGAAGATAATCCAAAAAAGGTCGAAAATTTCATAAGTGGGGGTTATTGAAAAATTAAGCTTTTGAAAAAGTTATCTCAAAATCCACAAACAATTCTGGGATATCGGATGTTCGATTAAAATGTCATCAAGTCAGCGTTGCTTTTTTGATAGAAGAAAACGTACAGAAAACGCATGTGTTTTCTTAATTCATACTGCTCTGTATAAGGGACATTTTCGCGTTGTCAGCGGTCATCGATTAAACTTGAGGTTAATTGTAGACATACTTCACAATGTTTACAAGAAATCACAACCAACTTGATGGCTTTTATTGATGTAAATAAGAATTTAAATGTCAAATTTATTGTAACACAGCCCAGGAAGAAAGGTCAAAATTTTCATAAATAGAGAATATTTAAAAAATGAGCTTTTGAAAAAGTTGTGAAAAATTTTAAATATGTCATGGGGCGATTCTGGAAAAACTGTAGGAATTTTTGGAATAAATGAGGTCGAAATACACAAAAAAAAGAAAGCCAAACCAAATTTCTTTGGATATTTTTCGAAGATAATCCAAAAAAGGTCGAAAATTTTGTAAGTGAGGGTTATTGAAAAATTAAGCTTATGAAAAACTTGTCTAAAAGTCCACAAACAATTCTGAGATATCGGATGTTCAATTAAAAAGTCATCAAGTCAACGTTGATTTTTTAATAGAAGTAAACGTACAGAAAACGCATGTGTTTTATTAATTCATACTGCTCTGGATAAGTGACATTTTCACGTTGTCAGCGGTCATCGATTAAATTTGTGGTTAATTGAAGACATACTTCACAATGTTCACAAGAAATCAAAGCCAACTTGACGGCTTTTATTAATGTAAAGAAGAATTTAAATGACAATTTTATTGTATCACAGCCCAGTAAGAAACGTCGAAATTTTCATAAACAGAGAATATTTAAAAAATGAGCTTTTAAAAAAGTTGTGAAAAATTTTAAATATGTCATGGGGCGATTCTGGAAATCTGTAGGAATTTCTGGAAGAAATGAGGTCGAAATACACAAAAAAAAGAAAGCCAAACCAAATTTCTTTGGATATTTTTCGAAGACAATCCAAAAAAGGTCGAAAATTTCATAAGTGAGTGTTATTGAAAAATTAATCTTTTGAAAAATTTACCTAAAATCCACAAACAAGTCTGAGATATTGGGTGTTAATTAAAAAGTCATCAAGTCGGCGTTGCTTTTTTGTTAGAAGAAAACGTAGAAAAAACGCATGTGTTTTATTAATTCATACTGCTCTGTATAAGTGACACTTTCACGTTGTCAGCGGTCATCGATTAAATTTATGGTTAATTGTAGACATACTTCACAATGTTTACAAGAAATCACAGCCAACTTGATGGCATTTATTAATATAAAGACGAATTTAAATGACAAATTTATTGTAACACAGCCCAGGAAGAAAGGTCGAAATTTTCATAAATAGAGAATATTTAAAAAATGAGCTTTTGAAAAAGTTGTGAAAAATTTTAAATATGTCATGGGCTGATTCTGGAAAAACTGTAGGAATTTTTGGAAGAAATGAGGTCGAAATACACAAAAAAAAAGAAAGCGAAACCAAATTTCTTTGGATATTTTTCGAAGATAATCCAAAAAATGTCGAAAATTTCATAAGTGTGGGTTATTGAAAAATTAAGCTTTTGAAAAAGTTATTTAAAAATCCACAAGCAATTCTGAGATATCGGGTGCTCGATTAAAATGTCATCAAGTCAGCGTTGCTTTTTTAATAGAAGAAAACGTAGAGGAAACGCATGTGTTTTATTAATTCATGCTGCTCAGTATAAATGACATTTTCAAGTTGTCAGCGGTCATCGATTAAATTTGTGGTTAATTGTAGACATACTTCACAATGTTTACAAGAAATCAAAGCCAACTTGATGGCTTTTGTTAACGTAAAGAAGAATTTAAATGACAAATTTATTGTAACACAGCCCAGGAAGACAGGTCGAAATTTTCATAAATAGAGAATAATATGTCATGGGGCGATTCTGGAAAAACTGTAGGAATTTTTGGAAGAAATGAGGTCGAAATACACAAAAAAAAAGAAAGCCAAACCAAATTTCTTTGGATATTTTTCGAAGATAATCCAAAAAAGGTCGAAAATTTCATAAGTGAGGGTTATTGAAAAATTAAGCTTTTGAAAAAGTTATCTAGAAATCCACAAACAATTCTGAGATATCGGGTATTCGATTAAAATGTCATCAAGTTTGCGTTGCTTTTTTAATAGAAGTAAACGTACAGAGAACGCATGTGTTTTATTAATTCATACTGCTCTATATAAGGGACATTTCCGCGTTGTCAACGGTCTTCGATTAAATTTGAGGTTAATTGGAGACATACTTCACAATGTTCACAAGAAATCAAAGCCAACTTGATGGCTTTTATTAATGTAAAGAAGAATTTAAATGACAAATTTACTGTAACACAACACAGGAAAAAAGGTCGAAATTTTCATAAATAGAGAATATTTAAAAAATGAGCTTTTGAAAAAGTGGTGAAAATTTTTTAAATATGTCATGGGGCGATTCTGGAAAAACTATAAATTTTTGGAAGAAATGAGGTCGAAATACACAAAAAAAAAGAAAGCCAAACCAAATTTCTTTGGATATTTTTCGAAGATAATTCAAAAAAGGTCGAAAATTTCATAAGTGAGGGTTATTGAAAAATTAAGCTTTTGAAAAAGTTATCTAAAAATCCACAAACAATTCTGAGATATCGGGTGTTCGATTAAAAAGTCATCAAGTCGGCGTTGCTTTTTTGATAGAAGAAAACGTACGGAAAACGCATGTGTTTTATTAATTCATACTGCTCTATATAAGGGACATTTCCGCGTTATCAGCGGTCATCGATTAAATTTGAGATTAATTGTAGACATACTTCACAATGTTTACAAGAAATCACAGCCAACTTGATGGCTTTTATTAATGTAAAGAAGAATTTAAATGACAAATTTATTGTAACACAGCCCATGAAGAAAGGTCGAAAATTTCATAAATAGAGAATATTTAAAAAATGAGCCTTTAAGTTGTGGAAAAATTTTAAATATGTCATGGGACGATTCTGGAAAAACTGTAGGAATTTCTGGAAGAAATGAGGTCGAAATACACAAAGAAAAAGAAAGCCAAACCAAATTTCTTTGGATTTTTTGGAAGATAATCCAAAAATCCTCGAAATTTTCATAAGTGAGGGTTATTGAAAAATTAAACATTTGACAAAGTTATCTAATAATCCACAAACAATTCTGAGATATCGGGTGTTCGATTAAAAAGTCATCAAGGCGGCGTTGCTTTTTTGTTAGAAGAAAACGTAGAGAAAACGCATGTGTTTTATTAATTCATACTGCTCTGTATAAGTGACATTTTCACGTTGTTAGCGGTCATCGATTAAATTTGAGGTTAATTGTAGACATACTTCACAATGTTTACAAGAATTCAAAGCCAACTTGATGACTTTTTTAATTGAGCACCCGTTATGAATCTCGACGTGCGAGACTGAAATTCAATTTTGGTTTTAACTCCTAGAAATTGCCATATTTTATTAGGCAATTCTGGAAGAAGGTTTTTGAAGAACTGAGAAATAAGAAAAATTATTTAATAACGTAGGCAAACACCCTTTCACAAAAGGAGGATTTTTAAAAATTAAGGTTTTGAAAAAATTGTCGAAAAATCCACAAAAATCGCCCTGGAATAAGATCCTAGAAATATTCTGTTCATTTTTTTAAATCCCAAAAATTTAAATATGTTATGGGGCGATTCTGGAAAAATTGTACTAGTTTTCGAAGTTGAAAGCCCACAAAAAATTCTGTGATGTATGCAGATCTTGCCGTACTGGTTCTAAAAATTTCACTAAAAGGGCAGTTCTTTACTACACTAAATGAATCGTATTAGACGCCACAGTGTTACTTCAAAGAGTAGTCGAAAAGTATTTCAATTTATTAATGAATTTCTAATATGAAGTGTGTAAAATTTTCACGATATCACGACATCACAAGAGCATCTTACTAGTACCTACTAAGATAAGACTGATTTTGACAAATGACACCTCTGAGAAAATAGGGGGCGGGTGGGCGGGGCTAGTACTTGCTAAGATAAGATTCATTTTGGCATGATACATTCTAAAAAAATAGAAAGGTGTATCATTTGCCAAAATCAGTCTTATCTTAGTAAGTACGAGCCCCGCCCACCCACCCGCTCTTTACATCGAAGGTATGTCATCTGCCAAAGTCAGTTTTCTCTTAGCAAGTACTAGCCCCGCCCACTCGCCCTCTGTTTTCTTATAAGTTATATCATCTAAAAAGTCAGTCTTATCTTAGTAAATACTAAGATGATGGTCTCGGACCAAAGTTTTCGAAGTATTCTGTTTTAAATTCAATTTTTTACAATATTCTAAGGATTGCCATATTTTATTTTGGCGATTCTGGAAAAAATCCAGAAATTTGGGGAAAATAAAGCCGAAAATACCTTCTGGGGGTCTAAATTAACAAAAAAAAAAAATTTGTTTGGTAAGTTTAAACGTATTCGAGAAAGGGTAAAAAATTTCATATAAAAAAATTGTGCGAGACAATTACTTATTTAAGCTTCACTAATTTTTTTATAGCAATCATATCTAAAAGCTCTGGATATTTTTACTTCGGTTCATCTATGGCATTTAAAGCAATTTTAAGAGAATCCATTTTGAGGGAAAAGACCTTGAAAATTATCATCAGTTAAATTAATATCATGATGGACTCGTAATGTGAAAACGATTTAATCTGTCGTCTTGGTCTTTTTCTTTTTCAAACACACGGTATATTCAGGATGTTACAACTAATCTTTTGCTGTAAAATACGTATATTAACAAATTTGATACACTGGGTTTGACATTTTTAATTTTCAGTGTTGTACTCAGATTTAACAAAGTGCTGACATTTTTCAGATCTTTTGAACGTTAAGTTGCACCAATTCTCAAAGCAACCTACTTCAAACGATGATATTTTGAGGAATTTTTAACAATAATTTTTAATAAATATGAAGATTATTCTGTTATTCTATTATTCTACATATATAATTGTGAGTCTTATAATTGTGAACAAAAAACAAAAAGCTGAGTTTATTAATGAGTTTCTAATCTGAAGTATGTAAAATTTGACGATGCCGTTAACACGTATTATTTTTGGTTTATTGTTCAATCAAGGAAATCTTGATATAAAAAAAAACACGTTGCAGAAAATGACTTATTCAGGCTTCACTAATTGTTTTATATTTTAATGATATTTAAAAGTTCTCGCTCATGATTTAGAATACTTCATTTATGATCCATTGATCCATTTCAAAGTTCTTTCAATTTCCGTATTAATTTAACTGATGATAATTATCATCAGTTAAATTAATTACATCATCATGGAGCCGCAATTTAATGTATTTATGTAACTTTTCTGTGCCCTGAGTGTACAAACAGAGTTTAATTAAAAATGTATTACCATTTAATTGCAAATTAGCTTGATTTAGAATTAGTTAATTAAACAGCTTGATGAAATTTAATTAAAATTACTTAACCCAAATTTGATAAACATTAATGGAAATACTGGTGTTACATTTATTGGAAACTACTGGTTAGGTCGTATTTTTACTCTTTCTCCCTTAACATGTCAACAAAGTTAAGAGAACTCCTGTTTGGAGAAGAAAAGTTTTCATGCATTAATAAGTATGGAAAAAAAACGATTTTGAAGATTTTTTTTTAATTCTATTTGTGAAAGCAATCTCAGTTAAGATTGACTTTTCCCTCTTCATTTAATGAACTAAGCGTCGTTTATTTTTTTATAAACGTTAACCAACCAACGGACGTCTCAGTATCCAATTTTAAGTCAGCTTTATGAAAATCTGGTGGGGTAAAGACACTTATTAATTAAACAAAAATATCTAAACACGGAAATTTATTGGAACACCTAGCCGAGCTACGTGGGTACTTTACATTCTACGAGTCGTGCCTGATCAAAATTTGGCGGAAAATCCGTATCACCTGAGGCTATATAATACTGCAAAAAGAAACAGTGTTAAACAAAAACAAAAACTGTTAGTGTGTTAATAGAACAAAAATTAGTAAATAAAATCAATAAAAAACAAAACGGGTCACCATTATTATGATTTCTACTATCTTGGTAACGTTGCGTATGCAAATTGGTTGAACTTAGGGAAACCTTGTGGAATTAACTGTACCGGTAACGGTCTACCATCCAACGATGCGCACGGGACCCTTAGTCTCTGAGGCATTATTATACCGAACTAAATCAACAAAAATCAAATTAACCAAAGTGTAAATAAAGAAAATTTCCTACAACTACGGCGACACTTACCTTGGTAGCGCACTCGAAACATGTGGTGACCACTTTCGAAATAACGTTCATGAGGTTCTTGGTTTCTTGGATGACGTTGTCAACTTTTGTAAAAGTGGCCGCTTTACCAACAGTGTGATCTTTAACAGTGAACTGCAGCCTCTGCACAAACGTTGGCACTTTGTCTAAGTTTTCGAGGAGTTCTTTTTTGTTAGCACCACCGGGAACCTGCAACCATAATCCAGGAACTAGTCTGCAGACTACGCAAAAACGGGCAGTACCTGATAACTAAATTGCCTAATAACCTTATACAGTCTGTTGGCCTCTTCCGCGAAATATTCGGCTTGGGTGAACAGGTCCTGGGTTGTTTTTAAGACACCTTCTCCTTTAGTGAACTGATACATAGAAAAAGCCATAGCTGACATGTTCTTAGCCCTTTTCACGATGTCGTTGTTTTCCTGAAAACAATCAATATAAGGCTTAATAATAATGATAATAACTTGTTTTTCGTTCTACTTCCGAATGTAAGCTAAGGAAGTATTGTAATTGAGTCCATGGGCCTACTTCCAACTTTTACTTTTTCTCGACCTTTCCTAGACTACGAAGAAATATGTCCTCGTTTCCGTCTGTCCATCTGTTTGCCGTCTGTGTCCGAATTTTATTAGACAGATAATCTTCGAAACTACTGGACCGATTGTTGTCAAATGTTATATGTATATTAGGACTATTATGGAGTCGGTAAAACGCCAACCACAAATTGGTTAATCATCCCAACCAACAATTTGATGACGTCGTCTATAAAATTTACAATAACAAATTTGCATTTCTTTTATAAAATGTGTCGGCCTTTCACCCTAGCCATATCCGGATTTTTGGAAAAAAAATGAAAATTGTATAACAACATCATACAATTTATCGTTGAAACTACAAAAGCGAATGCTCTGAAATTTTGCAACGTTTTAAGGTTATTGTAAGCATGATAAATCGTTAATAAAAATTTATTTGTTTAACCCCTCCCAAAAAATTGATGACCTCAAAATCACATTTTATAATTTTTTAAAAATTACGGATTTTTTACCTTCGACCCATTTTTTGATATAATAAGTTTTCGTGTTTTCATTTTTTTAATTCTTCAATTTTTCCTTTTTTCTGTGTTTCGATTTCATAATTTTTCATTTTTCCATTTCTACAATTTTTGGCATTGCAATTTTCAATGTTGCAGATTTTTTGTTTCTGTATTAATTTTCCAATTTTTCAATTATTCGCTTCTGCATTTTTTCTAGTTGTTGATTTTTATGTTTCATTTTGCCAATTCTCTAAATTTTCAATTTCTGTATTTTATATCACAATTATGTGTTTTTTTCATTTCCTTAATTTTTTCAATGTTCCTTTCATTTTATAATTTTTCGTTTATTCAATTCTTCAAATTTTCATTCTTTGTTTTTCAATTCTTCGATTTTTCATTTCGAAAATTTTTCAATATGGAATTTTTGGATTGTTTAATTATCCAGTTCTCCGATTTTTTCGATATTTCGTTTATTTTGTTCAGTTTTTTGGTTTTTCCGTGTCTTCAATTTTTCAACTTCTTGATTTCCAATTTTCAGTTTTTTCAAACTTTTCATTTTATAATTTTTCGTTTTCTCATTTCTACAGTTTTTCAATTTTTCAATTTTTTTGATTGGAAAAGTTAAAATATCGGAAAACTGAAAAATCGGAAAAATTGAAAAACTATCATACCGAACGACTGAACGATCGAAAAAATGAAAATTTAAATTTCGAGAAACTGAAAAATTACAAATCTAAAAATTTAAAAAGTTTTAAAATCGTATAATAGAAAAATGAAAACATTCTAAAATTGTAAAATGAAAACAGTAAAAAGTTTTTAAAATTATAATTATTATCAGACACACATTTAAAATGAAAATAGAAAAACTGCAAATCAAAAACCGAAGAAACAAAAATTTTAAAATCGAGAAACTGAAAAATCAAAAGCCGAAAAAACGAAAAATAAAAAATCTAAAATTGTGAAAAATTTCAAAATGAAAAAAAATTGAAAATCAGAACAGTGAAAAAGCGAAAAATTTATATAATAAATAAAATAAGAAACCGAAACGAAAAATTGCAAATTAAAAAATTGAAGAAGTGAAAAATTAAAAAAACTAAAATTGAAAAAACAAAAAATAATAAAATTGGAAAAATAAAGAAATTAAAAATCCTAAAGCAAAAAGTGCACATCGAAAATTTGGAAAGATGAAAAATTAAACAATCGAAAACTTGAAAACTTAAAAAACTAAAAATTGAGAACTTGAGAAATTTTAAATAGAAAAATTGCAAAATCCAACATTTGAAAAATTTCACAACAAAAAAGAAAAATTTAAAAATCAGAACAATGAAAAACCGAAACATTGTAAAAATAAAGAAAATACAAAACCGAAACGAAAACTTGCAAATCGGAAAATTGAAGAAATGAAAAATTGAAAAATCGGGAAACCGAAAAATCTAACATTGAAACAACGAAAATCGAAAAATTTAAAAATTCAACAACTAAAAAATTTGACATTAAAAAAAGAAAAATTAGAAATTTGAACATTGGAACACCGAAACATTGAAAAAATAAAGAAAATATAAAAACGAAACAAAAACTTGTGAATGGAAAAATTGAAGAAACGCAAAATTAAAAGTCTAAAATTGAAAAACTGAGAAACGAAAAATTGGAAAATCCAAAAATTGAAAAATTAAAAAAAAAATAGAAAAACTGAAAAATTGAAAAAATGAAGGGAACAAAAACCGAAACGAAAAATTGCAAATCGAAAATTTGAAGAAATGAAAAATTAGAAAATCGAAAAATTGTAAAAATAAAGAAAATAAAAATCCTAAACCAAAAATTGCAAGTAGAAAAATGGACAAACTGAAGAACCTAAAATTGAAAAAACGAAAACCGAAAAACTTCAAATCGATAAATTGGAAAATCCAAAAACTGAAAATTTAAAAAACAAAAATTAGAAAACCTAACAATGAAAAAAAGAAAAATTAAAAAATAAGAAAATAAAAAACCGAAACGAAAAGTTGGAAATCAAAATTTGAAGAAATGAAAAATTAAAAAACTAAAATTGAAGAAACAAAAATTATAAAATTGGAACATTCAAAAATCAAAAAATTGTAAAAATAAAGATAAAAAAAATCCCAAACCAAAAGTTGCAAATCGAAAAATTAAAAATTTGAAAACTTGAAAAACTAAAAATTGAAAACTAGAAACTTTAAATTGAAAAATTGCAAAATCTAAAAATTGAGGAAACAAAAAAATGAAAAATTGAAAATCGCAAATCGAAAAATTGAAAAATCCTACAACTGAAAAATTTTACATTAAAAACCGAAACGAAAACTTGCAAATCGGAAAACTGAAAAATCCAAAATTGAAAAGACGAAAACCGAAAAACTTCAAATCGATAAATTGGAAAATCCAAAAACTGAAAATTTAAAAAACAAAAATTAGAAAACCTAACAATGAAAAAAAGAAAAATTAAAAAATAAGAAAATAAAAAACCGAAACGAAAAGTTCGAAATCAAAATTTGAAGAAATAAAAAACTGAAAATTCGAGGAATTTTGAATCGAAAAATTGAAGAAACAAAAAAAAAGAAGAAAAATTGAAAAAAAAAAAATAGAAACATTCAAGAAACGAAAAACTGAAAAAATTTAAATTGTAAAAACAAAGAGTTATAAAACCGGAACACTGACAGTTTAAAATTTGTAAAAATAAAGAAAATAAAAATCACAAACCAAAAATTGCTAATCGAAAATTTGAAGAATGAAAAATTAAAAAAACTAAAATTGAAGAAACAAAAATTATAAAATTGGAACATTAAAAAATCAAAAAATTGTAAAAATAAAGAAAATAAAAATCCTAAACCAAAAATTGCAAATCGAAAAATTAAAAATCTGAAAACTTGAAAAACTAAAAATTGAAAACTTTGGAAATTTTAAATCGAAAAATTGCAACATCGAAAAATTGAAAAATCCTACAACTGAAAAAATTCATATTAAAAACCGAAACGAAAACTTGCAAATCGGAAAATTGAAAAAATGGAAAACTGAAAAATCCAAAATTGAAAAGACGAAAACCGAAAAACTTCAAATCGATAAATTGGAAAATCCAAAAACTGAAAATTTAAAAAACAAAAATTAGAAAACCTAACAATGAAAAACCGAAAAATTAAAAAATAAGAAAATAAAAAACCGAAACGAAAAGTTGGAAATCAAAATTTGAAGAAATAAAAAATTGAAAATTCGAGGAATTTTGAATCGAAAAATTGAAGAAACAAAAAAAATTAAAAATTGAAAAATAATAGAAAAACTCAAGAAACGAAAAACTGAAAAAATTTAAATTGTAAAAACAAAGAGTTATAAAACCGGAACATTAACAGTTTAAAAATTGTAAAAATAAAGAAAATAAAAATCGCAAACCAAAAATTGCTAATCGAAAATTTGAAGAAATGAAAAATTAAAAAATTGAAAATCGCAAATCGAAAAATTGAAAAATCCTACAACTGAAAAATTTCACCTTAAAAACCGAAACAAAAACTTGCAAATCGGAAAATTGAAAAATTCTACAACTGAAAAATTTCACATTAAAAGAAGAAAACTTAGAAATTTGAACATTGGAAAATTGAAACGAAAACTTCTAAATGGAAAAATTGAAGAAGCGAAAAATTAAAACTTTAAAATTGAACAACTTAACGTCGAAAAACTGAAAAATCTAAAAATTGAAAAATTTCACATTGAAAAAAGACAAACTAGAAACTCAGAACATTCAAAACCCGAAAAATGTAAACAATAAAGAAAATATAAAACCGAAACAAAAACTTGCAAATCGAAACATTGAAGAATTGTCAAATTCAAAACTCGAAAAACTGAAAAATCTAAAATTGAAAAAACGAAAAATTAAAGTCTAAAATTGAAAAAAAAAATAGAAAAACCTAACAATGAAAAACCGAAATGAAAAACTTCATTTCGAAAATTTTAAAATTAAAGAATCAAAAAATTGAAAGATCAAAAATTCAAAATCGCAAATAGAAAAATTGAAGAAAGGAAAAACTGAAAAAATTGAACTTGGAAAAACAAAGAATTATAAAATCGGAACATTGACAGTTTAGAAATTGTAAAAATTAAGAAAATAAAAATCGCAAACCAAAAATTGCAAATCAAAATTTGAAGAAACGAAAAATGAAAGAATCAAACATTTTTAAAAATTAAACATTGAAAACTCGAGAAATTTTAAATCGTACAACTGCAAATCTAAAAATTGAAGAAACAAAAAAAATTCAAAATTTAAAAATCGCAAATCTGAAATTTGAAGCAACGAAAAATTGAAAAAATTAAATTTGAAAAAGTAAAGAAAATAAAAAAACCGAAACGAAATATTGAAACGGAAAACTCGAGAACCCAAATCTAAAATTGCAAAACCTAAAAATCGAAAATTGAAAAACTCAAGAAACAAAAAATATGAAAAATAGAAGAATTAAAAATGTAAGTTAAAAAAGTTGCACGAGTGTTATTTACAGCACTGGTTAGAGATTATCAGAAAACAAAAATCACAATTTTTTATAATGTTTCAAAGAGGTGGACTTTATCGGGCTATCCCTCAGGGCCAAGATAAGTTCTGTCGACCAATTTTTTAACACAGATCCACCCACCCTACACTGACCTACCTCAACTTGGGTGTTGCTCTCTTGCCATTTATCCGTCTCGGCGTCCATTTCGCTAGTTATCAGTTTCATCTCCAGCCCCGACTTGGCGATTTTCTCCTGCTCCTCCGTATCCAGTCTAACAGCCTTAAGGGGTTTCGACGTAGTTCCATGCTTCTGCAAATCAACTCGTAATCCCGCTACATAAAAACCCCAATTAACTTACACCTGGTCTCGGCAGCGACATATAGACCTGTTTCTCCGGTTTCGCCTGGCTCGCCTCCAGTACATCCTTAACGATTGTCGTAACGTCAGACACAAGCCACTGGTACATATCCGCAAAAACTTCTAAATTTTCTTGAGCAATTTTACTACCTGGGTAGGCCGCCAGCGTTTTAGCAGCCGTGATCACCTGTGGCCCGTAGACCCGCAGATTGATTTCTGTGAATTTCGCGGACACTTGCAGCGTCTCGGAAACCGCGACGTGCCGCAGCAATTTACAGACCTATAATTACACACGTGTGAAAATTTTTTCTACGGCCGCGCGACGAAAACCACCTCCAAAATGTGGTCGATTGAATCTTGAAAGGCATTAGAGGTGTGGTGAAGTCTATCGATATCAGACATTAGGGCCTGTTGCCGAATACTACTGACTAATTCCAGTCCTTGCTTCGTCGCAGTGCTGAGTTCCTGTGCCTGCTGGATCCCTGCGTTGGACAAGTGTCGGGACAAGTCGCGAGCTGAATTTATACAAGCCGACACGGAACTCTCAACTTCTGGACAGTTAATAGCACCCTCGAAATCAATCTAAAAACGGGAATTGAATTAGTACATGTTTTGAGAAGTTGGGAAATTCAATATCGGATTATTGGATTTATGGGGGAGTTGGGGAAACAATTCGACTCAACAAACTCCGACACAATAAAATGTCACTTTCTATTATGCTGTCCACTATAAAAATGAGGAAACTTCTCGGAAGGGTTGTATTCGGTCTTAGGGCTTGTTACACGACAAGAAGTTACGGCCGAGTGAAGGCATTTTCTGTGTAGGAGATTTCGTAAACGAGATCGCAACGGATTACATGCGGTAGCAAAGTATTAATAAATAATGGGCTTAAAGCTCTACTACGGGGACCAGAGATGTAGTTTCCTTGGACGTTTAATTAAATAATTAATTAATTAATCATAACTACAGCAGCCGCATAGAAGACACTGTGACTATTTACAAACCCGAATCACACATATTCAGAATTAATTTTTTAGGTGGGTAGATATAAAAAAAAAATAGTGTTTTCTTGGAAATATAGCCAACTAAATTGATGCTGTTTTTAATTTCTTGTAAAGAAATAATTAATGTATTTTGCAGTTAAGCTCCGCCTCCTTGGTTCATGGCGAATAAAAAAAAATCATCACAATTGAGACAGGGTGGGTGGGCGGGCTTACATTTTGCCTTGTTGTTTTAGTATGCGTGGACTTCTTTATTCTTTTCACAACATGAAACTTAAAATATGTTTAAAATGGAAAATTTGTATAAGGAAATATCGATTTTTAATAATTAGGCTCCGCCTCATAATTGCAAAAACCATATTTTGTTGCAAAAATGTAGCGATCGTTCAAATAAAAAATTGTGGATTTAGAGTTTAGTGAATGATTCGTTCACATTTCCAAAGCCAACTTGACGTCGTTTTTATTTGAACCATGTTTTAAGTTTTTTGTTGTGAAAAGATGACTATGTATATTAAACAAAAAGGCAAAATATAAGCCCCGCCCACCCACCCGGTCTCCTTTCTGATGATTTTTTTATTCGTCGTGAGCCAATGCGCAAAAACACATTTTTCTGTTATTCGAAGAGATGTGCTGAAAATCAAGCAAAATTCTAGGAGAATAATCTCCTTCCAGATGGATTTGGTGAATTTTCAGTCTTTCATAAATAAGATGGAAGTTCGGAATAATTTCTAATATGCGAACATATGACGAAAATAAGCACAGATTCTTGAGACTGAGACAATTTCCTATTCTGTCATATTTTGGAGGTCATAAAACTTCGAAAAAACATTAGTTTACGCTTGAAAAGTAAAAAAATGACACACTAGGTGATATATTTTAGAATAAACTATGTTCCTTTACATATTTTAATGATTTGTTTTGGGATAGATTCGACGAACGATTTATTGGCATATACATGTGTTTCTCACACCTTTATTTGAACAAAGTCGGCGAAAGTAGGCACAGATTCTTGGTTCTAAGAAAAGTTCCGATAAGAATGACATATTTTCAGATAGATTTGACCCACCTCAAGGTTTTTAGTTAGACAAAAATAATTATCGACTGTTTAAAAAAATTGTACACGTTCAAAATTGTATTTAAAAATTAAGTGAATTTCTTTAAATATATGAACATATAAATCATTTGCTTAAACTTATTTAGACACTCGCTGTTGAACGACAGTCCAACAAATCCCACTTTTAATAATAAAATTTGCTTTTGCGAATTTTGTTTTGTGGTTACTTCGAAGTGCGGGGGCAATATGAACTATATTTAAAGTAGATAACAACGAGAAAAAAAGTATTCTCAATTTCTCAGTACATGCTTAACTTCAATTGCTTATGTTCAGACTTCGAAATAATTCGACTATTAGCACGTTCAGATAACAAGGATAACAAGGAAGACGACATTTGTGTTAAAAGAAAATGAAATTTGAATTATGTTGTCTGGTCAACTCAGAGAAGACGACTAATTAATTAATTAACACACTTGGTTTTTTCCCAAAAACCTGTCAAGGATCAACAATCATCAATTTGAAGAACATTTAAATGAAAATAATTTTTATGAGGACTATAAACGGACCAATTTTGGTAAGTAAACAATTTACCATGCTTTTGGTGACAACATTATTATTTTTGCAACTTCAGAGTTAAATTGAAGAGGTTTTTTCCAAAACTGATTAAGTCCATATTTCATAAATTTGAAATGTACTCCTGGGTATACTATAGGACAACAAAAATAAGCTCCCAAACAAATAGTTTTTCCAAAATTTTTGTTTCATTCCAATCATGTATTAACTTCAATTAAATTTTATTTAAAACTAATTTAGGAGTGCTATATTATGCAATTTAAACAACATTTTTTCTGCAAAATTGTAAGATCACGTCATTATTTTCTATAGAGGCCCTTAACGAATAATTTTTCAATAAAAATACGTTTGCAAGATTTCATAGTCTTCGGTTTCGCAGTTTCAAAATTAAATTGCAAAATGTTAGAAAATTTTGATTTTTTTCCAGAAATCTGGATGTCTAAGTAAAAACTCAATAATTATAATTGTTGTAAATATTTTTACCATCTACACGATATTACTAAAATATGTATAAAATTTGACCACAATTGGTCCAGTTGTTTTGGAGAATATGTATCTAATAAAAATCGATACAGACAGACGGACGGACTGACGGAAACGGGAAACCGATTTTTTGTACTCTATTACCCGATTAAAATATTTCTTAAAAAAAAAATAGTTCTGAACTAAGAAAAAACCCCTTTTTCTGATCTTTTTTTGATCTGATCTTAATTTCTAATAAAAATGTGTCTTTCCCCATTGAAACTTTAATTATTTATTTATTAAAATCGGAAACTGTGGGGCCGGCGTGTTATTAATTAATTTCTTTAAATGCTTCTTTCAAGTAATTTCCAAAAAATTACACATTAGGTGGTCCATTTTATAATTTAAAAAAAATTAGAAAATTTTTTTACTATATTTGAGCCAAAATAATGACATATTTGGGGACTGATTGCAATAATACTTTATTGTATAGAGGTAAGTATAAGGAATTTTATAAATATTTCGTTTTGAAACATAACAAAATTGTACTGTAGTAAGAAGAAATTGTATTTTTTCAAACATCCTGGAACAAGATAACAAATCAAACCAGACTTAAAATAAGATAGATTAACCCCTTGTTCAAAATTACATTTTCAGTTGTGTACTCGTACTTATATAACATAACATGAACAAAAAAATTCATAGTACTTGCCAAGATAGATTGATTTGGCAAATGATATATCCTCTAAGAACTTAGGGGCGGGTGGGCGGGGCTAGCACTTGCTAAGATAAGATTGATTTTGGCAAATGACATCTTCTAAGAAAGTAAAGGGCGGGTAGGCGGGGCTAGTACTTGCTGAGATGGACTGATTTTGGTAAATGAGATCCCTCTAAGAAAACACAGGGCGGGTGGGCGGATCCTCTAAGAAATTTAATTAAATTATTATAAGAAAAGACAGTACAGGCTCCTACCACTTTCAAAACTTTCCAATCTGGAATACCTAGAACTTCAAGATTGTTTTAAATTTTTCAAAAAAAAAAACAGTGTCCCAAATTCAACTCAAAAACAAGTGAAGTCAGAATTTTCATAAAATAGAACACCAAAGTCCCCCAAAATTGTTTTAAATAACTTACAAAAAAAATCTTCATGGGCTCCCAAAATAATACACCATGTGTACTCAAGAGTCTCCCGAATTAAAAAAAAAACACTGCGGCACTCAAGACTCTCAAATTCATAAACAATAAAAATTGGAAGATCGAAAAATTGAAAAATCCAATACAAAAACTGAAACATTGAAAAATTTAGATCTCGAAAAACTGAAAAATCAAAAACCTGAAAAATCGAAAAGAAGAATAATTCCAAGAAGTGGTTTATTAAAATATTAATTTTGGAGATTAAAGATGAATTTATATTCTTTCCTGATGTTTTTAAAGCTGAACTTAAAAAACTGAAAAATCAAAACATTAAAAATTCGGGAAATCGAGAAATAGGAAAACCAAAAAATCGATTAATCGGAGAATTGAAGAATCGAAAAACTGGAAAATCGAGAAATTGACAAATTTCAAAACTGAAATGTCGAAAAATTCGGAAATCGAAAAATCAGAAAATCGAAATAGGCCAAACTCGAAAAGTTGAAAACTGAAAATATTAAAAAAAAATATTGAAAAATTGAAAAATCGAAAATTTAAAATTTTGGCAAATGATACATATGCTCTAGGAAAGTAAAGTGTGGGTGGGCGGGGAAAGTACCTGCTAGGATAAGACTGATTTTTGCAAATGGAGTATCCTCTAAGAAATTTAATTAAATTATTATAAGAAAAGACACTAGAGGCTCCTACCACTTTCAAAACTTTCCAATCTGGAATACCTAGAACTTCAAGATTGTTTTAAATTTTCCAAAAAAAAAAAACAGGGTCCCAAAATTAACTCAAAAACAGGTCAAGTCAGAATTTTCCAAAAATAGAACACCAAAGGCCCCCAAAATTGTTTTAAATAATTTACAAAAAAAATCTCGATGGGCTCCCAAAATAATACACCATGTGTACTCAAGAGTCTCCCGAATTAAAAGAAAATACTGTGGCACCTCAAGACTTTTTCAAATTCATATACAATAAAAATTGGAAGATTGAAAAATGTAACAATTCAATTCAAGAACTGAAACATTGAAAAATTTAGATCTCGAAAAATTGAAAAATCAAAAACTGAAAATTCGAAAAGAATAATTTCAAGAAGTGGTTTATTAAAATATTAATTTTGGAGATTAAAGATGAATTTATATTATTTCCTGATGTTTTTAAAGTTGAACTTTAAAAACTGAAAAATCAAAACATTAAAAATTCGGGAAATCGAGAAATAGGAAAACCAAAAAATCGATTAATCGGAGAATTGAAAAATCGAAAAACTGGAAAATCGAGAAATTGACAAATTTTAAAACTGAAATGTCGAAAAATTCGGAAATCGAAAAATCAGAAAATCAAAATAGGCCAAACTC